GCAATTAAAAGAAATATTGAAGTACATAAACAGTTTTGTCAGACTTCTAAAGAGAAAAAGTGGCTTTTACAGAGCACAGGAAAGATCAGCTTAGATAGGAAACCTGCTGCTGGGAAGGAAAGAAGCGCACTGATATCATCTCAGACATTTGTGTTCTGTGCTGGATAATGTTTCAGAGAATTAAGTCATGCTATGCAGTTACATATAGAAAACATCAAATTCTCTGAAACTGAAACACATCCCACTCCTTTTAACTGTCATTATATTTTTGTTTGAATGACAATGTGTCAGTTACATATAGGAAGTTACACACTCTTCTCACAGTGTTTCTCATTAAAGTATGCCTGGCTGAGTACTGGCAAAAGAAAAAAAGGATGAAAATTAAGTCAACTAAATTAAAGACTGAAATTTATTCAAAACAGTGCATTTCACATCTTTCTAAGATTCCTTCCTGCAAAAAAAAAAGAAAAACCTTAAAAAATTGAAAACATTGAAAAAATTTTCAATAACTTGCTGGATTTGTGTTTTGCTTTGAATAGATTAGGCATCTTTATCATCCCAAAAAGAATATGACAGTCTCTCCACTACTTAAAAAAACATTTTTATGTATAGTAATGCATTCTTATGGGATTTTGTGTAAGATGTGAAAGATTGCTAATGACTTCAATAGATTGAAGTTATTTGTGCCAGCAGAGTGAAAACAGGTTGAGCTTTTAATAACTGAAGTCAAAATTGAAATTTAACTTTTAACTGAGCTAACTAGCATGCTATAGCTAAAGCACTGTACATGAAACCTTGGAGAATTCATCACAAGCATACTATCACATCCAACAAGCCTTACATAAGGTAATTTCTTCTGATGACAGCATGCAGTCACTACTAAAAAAAAGCAGAGTAAAGTAGCTGAATGTTGGCAACAGTTTACAAGAATATAAAAATTAAATGTTGTGTTAGAAAAGCAAGAAAAGGGTTTCACTATGTCATCTATTATTCGTTATTTCATTATGTCATGTCTCTAAATATTTCTCCCGCTGCAGTTAGTGCTATTTCTTTTGATGATCAGTTTTGCTCCAAGCCAGTGTTACTACACAAGCTTGATTTGTCACAGACAAACTTTTTTCTTGGTCCCTAAATAAGCTTTTATATATTCTGATGAGCATTATCTTGTTAAGAAAGTAAAGAGACTATTCTTATAAAATGTAGCTTCTTGTTTAAGTACTCTTTTCTACTTGTTGTCTCTGAGTGTGCTCAAATGAAGATATTATACTAATGCCTGCAACTATGTCATTTACCTACAGCAATTTATTCAAGGTTTCATCATGCTGCTTTGAGTTTACATTTAATGAAGACCATCTGAAGTGTCCCCATTGCAGCTGCAGGCTCTGTAGAAATCCTAGCGCAAGAGGCAATATGCTGTATTGTGATGCAGATTTGCTTAAGAGTGCATCTGCAGCAACAAGATCATTTCCCATGGTCTTCACTGTATTTCTTCTATTATTCATGGAACACAATGTAAATGAAGCTATAAATTTTACCACATACTAAATGTAGAAAGATAATGGAAATTGTGAATTATGAATGAATCACTGTTATTGTGATTCCTCAAGGATTCTGATGTAGATGATTATACACACACAAAGACACTGTAGCTAAACCTCTTTATATTGATCTTGAAAAATGATCCTTAGAATATTATAATTAATATACAGAATTCATAGATTTGTTTTTCATGACAATGCTAAATACAACTAACCGTCAAAGGCAATTACATATCAATGCATGCTACCTAGGGGCAGGCAAGCATACTTTTATTTAGGATTGCTGAATTGGGAGGAGAAAGATAATAGCTCACAAAAATGTGTTTCCCAGCTACCCACATGTGTGCTTTCACATTTAAATAAGCCACAGGCAAAAGTTTGAGGAGTATTTTGTAGTGAACACATTCATATGGCAAGTAATAAGCGGTGTTTTTCTGTAAGATGGCTGGAAATGGAGCCTTTAAGTGAAAGTAGTATTCTTCTGTAAATTACACAATCAAAAAAACCTACAAATACCAATCTCTTTGCCCGATTTCACATGATAGCTAGAGGCATTAATTCTTATACTTTCCCTTTACGAATAGTTCCATTTGAGATATGACCAAGTTCAGAACAGTTCTGGTTTAACCATGTTTGGAAATTAGTAAAATTATACACTACAACAGCTCTAGCTATAATCAACACCTAAGCACTTATTAAACCTCGGGGCAAGTTTGGATCCCCCCCACTTGGGAGCAGAAGCCGATGCATCATTTTAAAATAGCTTAGATCCTGAATTTCACGTCCCATGTGGAATCTCAAGAACCTGGTTCATTTCACAGAACAACCTTGGCTCCATAGAGCAATTGACCAACTCTCTTTTTAGTAAACTTTATAGAATCACAATCATAGAATCGCAAGGTTGGAAAGGACCTACAAGATTATCTAGTCCAACCATCACTTGTTGACCTGAATACAATTACTTATCTAGAGAGGGAATAAATAAGACATTTAATAATTTATTGTGACATGTGCTTATGACCAGTCAGATCACTACAGAAAGTAAACCAGAATAAACAACAGCACTCTATTTCCAACATACTTCAAAATTCTGTAATGGACAAAAGAGAGCAACTTTAAAGCAACCTCAACAACCTGCCAGCATTTTTGCCAAAATATTTTTAATTCACATGCAGGAAGCCAACTGAGTACCACAATCAGTATTTTGAGGGTACAAGAGGATTTTGCTTAGCTCTGATTTCTAAGGATGTTTTTTTTTTCCCCACTAGAATACCATGCTACTCAAGTCCGTGGTCCTGTCAAAATATTATTCCATTTTTAACCACTACATGTGAACTCCAATTCTTCTGATGTTCTTTACCTAGCACCTTTGGATAACACACGAGCACACTTGAAATAATGCAAGTTTAAACAAATTTCAGGAAAATTTTAAGATTCCTGTTGTAACAAAAACTGCAATCTGTATAATTTAGAAACTGTATGATAGAGAAAAATCAAAAACTGCTTAAAGCATTTTTTCTTTTAAATCAAAAAGAAAAGAAGAGAGTTAATGGTAAAATAAGAAAAGTAATACTTCCTCACTATTTTCTCCCATTCGTTACAGCTATAGAAGAAATGACTACAGAGGGCATGAATTACATACCTCCACATAAACATGCCTTGTGATTTGGTATATGTTACTTCCACATTTCTTAAATATATTAGCTTTCATTAGTAACATTTAAACAAACCATTTACTTGCAAAGACTTTTCTGAAGTTAAACAGAAAAAAAAACCAAAAATAATAATTAAAAAGTTCAGAAACATCACATATTAAAACAAATAGTTTTGCACATGGTTAAGTCATTTTCACCATATGAACTTTATAACTGCTGTGCAAAGAAAATAACTCTAAAGGCAGCACATGATTTCATCTCTATCAGCGATGCATACTTGACAACTGACTGTCCTGATGGAACAGGCTATTTGTTTCTATTCCCATCACTAGATATGACTTGATTTAGAGAAACATTTAATCACATTTGAAAATACTACTCTTCAGGAACTTCTCCCTCCCAAGTCCAATACATGACAACACGGGAATGAAATTCAAAAGAATTAAATCAGGAATATTTGTTTTAAGCTGAAGCACTGCTGTCAAAAAAACATTCTCTGATATCATGAAGATTGATGATGATTACATAGCATTCATGTTTAAGTCAGATAAATGAAATGCCAAAAAAGAGATGCAATGAAAAGTTACACACTGCTATTCAGCTCAGTAGCCACAAGGACCTAACACAACAAATAAAGCTCTGGTCATCCAGTTCACTGATTGTTATCAGTTGATGGATCTACCAAAGGGCAGCTACTAAAGGAGTCTGATGATACCATTTGATTATTCCATACTTCTGTATAGATGTCCTGAGAAAGTCATAACAAAGATAATACTCTCCAGAAGTCTATATGTTAGGCACTACCATTTGTGATTGCTTATGGGGAAGTCAAATGACATAGAAATTCAATATGTCAGAGAAATGACACACCAAAGATTACCCTGGGAGCAGAGCATGGGAGCCTTAACTACCTCCCGATTAAACATTACTTCCCAGCTGTAAAGTTGAAGAGTGAACTGAAATAAAATAGCATTTGCTTCAAAACCATGCTTCTCCTCCAAAAGCCCATATTTTACAAATGCAACTATATTTATTTGCAAAGAATGAGTTACAAATGAAGAGCTTTGTTTTGCCAAGGCAAATGCCCTCCTCGAAGGGAGATGTATTTCGACTAGAATTAGAAGACACCTAAAAATGCAGGAAAAGCAAACAGAGCTGCATTTACCAGAACTTCATTTTATAATTCTCACAAAATTAAATTACACCACATATTACCCTAAAGATGCACTCCTATTACAGCCATCTTCAGAGTGTTATTTTATATTTTTCTCCATTTGTCCATAAATGTCTGTTGCGTAAAACATATTGGCAGTTCTTCTAAAATGTGATTTATGGTAACATTTAAACACTTACTGCTTGCTATTCATTCTTCCAGCTACGTGATTCTTTTTAAGATAGAAAACACTGAGCATCTCAGCAAAGCAAGATTTTAAAATTTATGGCAGTCTCTTCTTTTTTAGACATTTTTTACTGCCCTGTTTATTAATAAAAAGTAGTCATTAATTAATCCATAGGTTGGATGGGTGACACAGTGTGCAGGAATTATCTTGGGCAACAAATAAATTATGCAATATAGTCAATGTATGTAAGTAAGAAAAGTTATCTATTTCTCATTAAAACGAAAAAGAGCAACAAGAACAAGGCTAGTGGGATATTTGACCTTGTTTTTGTGAAACTAATGCCATCAGGCTGATTTGATGGCAATGCTTGCCATTCTTGTGAGTTCTCAAGATGTTAGTCAGATTTTCAATGAAATATTACTTCTTGTGCTTCATCCTTGACAATAATTGTTCACAAGTGTACTTACTGCCAAAAAGTGATGACATGAAATAAGCTTGACTGCAAAGCGAGGGATATTCTTCTCCAGTAAGACAGGACCTACAGAAGTCTGAAAAAAAAAATTGTTTACATTTCTTTGATGAGTTGAATGTCTGCTTGCGACTCTACACATTCCATTTGAAAATTTACAGGTAAGGTATTTATGTCAACAGAAAATAGTCACAAATATACAAAAAAATATGATTTTGTTTTTTCAATCTTGAAACATATTCCCAAATTCCTTTATCAAAACAGAAAACATGGCTACATTTTTTTTTTTTTTTTTTTTTTTTACTGTTCACAGGACTGTGTTTAGCCAACAATGAATGAGAATACTTGCCATAACTTGCGCTTGCCATAATTTAGGTTTCATTTCAACTGCTGTTATTATCTGAAGCATAGCACAGATACGTTGATTTTTCACCTTGAAGACATGCATTTAACTCATTTAAATGAGCAGTCAAATTCACAAAAAAAAAGCTAAATTCATGAGCTATGTTTAAACTACATATTCTGGCTCAAGTTTTCCTTCTGATTCCATAAAGCTGTACCAGACCACAGGTTGGACATGTCTGATTCTTTGTAAATCATCAGCATGGCAGAATTATATGCTTTAATCTTGAAAAAGATACAGCCACTTAATGTGTAGTATGACAGTAGACTCAGATTTTTCTTTGAAGTCTTACAGAACTGTAAACTAATTCAGTTATTTTTTATTCACTATGAGAAGTGATAGTTGTCTCTATCAACTCGCATAGCAGAAGCAGATAGATTTTCTGAACAGAAAGCCTTCCTGAAGCACCAGTGGAAGCTCTAAATATCAGAAAGCAGTTTTTCTACTCATACCAGATAGCTTAACAACATTCCATGCCTTTTCAAACTTACTGTTTTTTAAGCATATACTTACCATAGTTAAAAGACAAAATACTTTCCTATCAGATCGACGTTAATTCTATGGGCTAACAACGCTAATTAGCACAGCATCCAGAAAGCAGCACACCCCCAACATAACAACCTAAGATAAAAAAGGTTCCTCCAAAGTAATTATTACACATGTAAGTCTCTGAATGCAATAATAAATGCTGACAGAGCTCAAAATTCCAAGTATTTTTAGATCTACTGACATGTAAAAAGAAAGATCACTGAACATATTAAAAGCTTCTTGGCTGTTCTATCAATCACATGTTATAGACAACCCTCTGAAAATACAAACTGTGACCTGCTCTTCCAAAGTACACAAAGGTAGAAAAAAAGAGAAAGCCTTTTTGTGAGGACCCTGCACATTAGAATTAGAGATGACATGAGGTTTCTGTTGGAATTATGGGATTTAATTCAACTAATTGAGCACGATGGTCAGCTATCATTACAAGAAAAAGCTATCATTTGCAAGAAAAACAGTTTGGCTCATGGGAAAAAATTTACTTATGAAAAATGAATGAGATTTCCAACATCTTTCACTCCCTAAGAAGTTGTTGTGCACGTGTCATTCAGACAAAATTCTAGAAGGAAGCATTTCAAAGTATTTGAGGTTGCTGAGTTGCAACATAGGAAATTATCACATCGTTTACAAATCATCCAGTTAAAAGCAAAGTAGTTAGAGACATCTTAAAACACTCACTGTCAACACAAGTGTTAAACCTAAATGTAAACAAACAAATGTCACAGGAGTTTACAAAGATATAAATGGGAATTTATTTCCATGAAAACACTGCTTTTGACTTTTTTTTTTTTATGGTTTTTTTTAAAAAAAAAAAAAAAAATGAGAAATCATCCAATTATTTTCTCGTGTTGGGCAGAAGTAGAACAGGGCAAGGACTCAAACATACATAACTATTTTAGCAGGTGAGGACCTGCAGCTGTGTAGATGTTTTAAAAGTCTGTTATGACAAAAAGACATGAAAGAACAACTCCTATATTCCCACGCATTTCAAACGTCACATAAAAAAGTCAAATACTTGAGGTTACCACATACAGTTCCAGTACTTTGGCTTTACATTTGTTTTCCATATTTAAAGCAAGAAGTACAATATGGAGAAGAAACTATGAATCACTGCTAAGAAGCCTATATCTCAGAATGATGATTTAAATATTAATTCCAAGGATTTGTTGTTCTGACATGAGTTTTGATTTTTGCATTAAAAACATTAAGTCAGTGAGCTAGGTCACTATTTTCTTGACGATTTTGGAGCTTTTTAACTAGGTGAACATACCTCTTAAGATGCATTCAGATTATTATTCTACAACTTCATTATCCTAATAATTTGATCAATTTTGCTTTTTATAATCAATACAACATTTTATTTTGTCTTGAATACTTTATTAGTTTATTTTCAGTGATACTAACTTCACTTTTGCTGCTTTTGTGATTTTTTGGTTTCAATAGAGATCTTGCTACTGCCTGGAGTCATACTTTTTCAGCAGTATAGATACTTGAGGGTCCTGGTAGATATCAACAAGTCAATCCAAACCCTGACCTCTCCACCCTTATTAAACTTTGGTTTTCAAATAACAGAATCCACCAAGAATTTTAACCATTGAGAAGATGTCCACACTTAGAGTGGGAGAACTTGTGAACATATCTTTCTAGTCAACAGCTACCTGCTGCATGATATACTACCTGTATACACGTGACAAGAAGAAATTGTCCTTTAAACACAGATTTGTTTTTGGATCTTGTGATCTCAACTTCCTTCATGTTTTATACTGGTGTTTAAGTAACTGAAAGTTTAACAGATATTCAGGAAAAGGTATCATATGAGAAGTGATACATGAATTCAGATGTCATGAGAATACTACACTATGATGGATTTTATTAAATGTGATTCTATTCCCTGTAAGGAATCTTTGAGAAGGATGTACCTCCACACAGAGACATACCCCTCTCTCTCTTCTATATACTTCAAGTAACCTTGTTCCTCTGATTTCAGCAACGGGAAGTTTGTGTAAAGCCATTACTCCATATGATGCAAGTCTAACAAGTGTTCTTTAGGTCACATCCTGCACAGCTAGCATTACAACTTGAAGAACTCGCATGTTGTTCTGCAGTAAAGTACCAATATTTTTTTCCTTTTCCCCTGCCACAGCTCACATACCACATTCTGGCTTAATAATTACTGTATCTGGATTGTTAATTCCTATTTGATTCATTTCTGATCTCAACTCTACTGCTGGCTTTCCTACAGTAGCTCCAACATTCTTGTAATTAACACAGCAGAGATCTGCCTGGGATTTGGAATCTACAATCTCTGAAGAACACTCACACAATATTTATATACCTTTCCTATTTTTTATAAATGTAATAGAGCAGAACCTTGAAGGATTCTCTAGCTTGTCAACAATTGCAGAATGACTGCTAGAGAACCTCAGGAAGGCCTCAACACCTTGTTAAAAACCACCAATTTGCTGCTTTGAAAACAACTAGCTTTCTCCATAAAGGTTTACAGCTTTATCCTTTTGCATACTACATGAAGTGGCAATGAGTATGCTATCATAATATCCAATGTAAAATTTGTGAGAGAGATTTCCTACCTCAGCTGGTTATGAATCAAGTGTCAAAGATTCTAATAGATCTGACCCAAAGTATGTTCTTTTACCACTTTATTCACTGCTAACAAATTATTTACCCAGGAAGATGAGAAAAACACTTCATTTCCATTCTCCAGTCTTCCCATTCTTGAGAAGGGTTGTCAGGCTAAGAAATAACTATGGACAGCCCCCTGTTAAAATGCTAGCAGTGATAATACACATTAATTTTCACCACTGTCTCATGAGTGTCTCCATGCTGAGCAGTGAATCATAGTTTACATATTGATGAGAACAGCATAAAGATACTTCCCTGTAGTTTCACACAGGCTGTATACAAGAATAGGACTGCAGGGTTCCCAAACTCTCACCTGAAGTTTCTGTACAAAAAGCAACACATTTATAACCCCCTACTACTACAAAGAAGCAGAAAATAATCTGTTCCCCATGCCCATCCTGAACAGGACTAGTAATGGGTTTAAATTACAATGAGAAAGCTTCAGCTTCAACATGAACAAAAACCCTTCTATTAGTAAAGACCAGAAGAGATTGCCCGGGGAGATGGCAGAGGCTCTATCATTTCTAATCTCTACTGGCAGCTTAGAGAAACATCTGTCCTAAATCTTGAGCTTTGAACTGTCCAATACATTAAGCATGGCAAGGTTCCAAATAAGCTCTCGAAGTGGATGAGCTGTCCTACAATTTACATACGCACTGCATTTCAAGCCACATTATAGAACTACTCAGCAGCAGGTACAATATTAAAATCTGCATTTTATTTTAATCTCATTCCTAAAGGATCCAACAGGCCTAAGAGATACAGTAACAGCTTCATGAGTTTGATTATTAACAAACTAAGATCTATTTAACTTCCAGAATTCTACCTATGAGTTCAGTACCTATGAATTGTACCTACAAACTCCATACTGTTAAGTGTATTTTGCTATCAGTTTAAGGAAGCTGAGTTTGACCTATGACAGTACCATAAATGTGACCATTATATTGAACATTCAATAAATGTTTTAGATGAAAAAAGATGAATTCACTATTTAAGTCAATGTTGAGAATTTGACTAAGAAATGTACTTTGTATAAGAAAGTAAAGAAAAAACTTTAAAGGAAGATTTAAAAACCTAACTTAATGACTTGAACATTTAGATGCTACTGCTCTCCATAGCCTATGGCAGTAGCATAAATCAGTAGCTACCTACCTGAAATAGAACACGACCTCTCCCAGTGGATTTTCATTTCACATCCCAATCACCCCACTGAATCTCAGCATGAAAGTTTTTTTAGTCAGATATTTAGCAATTTACTTATAACTATTAGCTGGATGACAGTTATGGAGCACAGTGACAAACTCAAACCAAAATTCAATATTATAATTACAAATGGAATTCCGAAGAGCACAAAGTAAATGCTTATGTTCAGGTGGTGCAAGACTTGCTAACTATAGGATGTTGTGTTGTTCCATTTGATCACTTCATTTTCCTCCAGATTGGTTTAATTTGAGGAGAAAAATAAAGATACTACATACAGGGACATCTGG